TTTTTTTTTCTACTTGATTCAGTCATTATCGTTTTTTGTTAGGTCTTCGTCACGGGGGCTTACAGAAAGCAGATGGAGGAGGTTCAAAAGTTTCGAGAGGAAGAAGAATACGAAAAAAAGTTTAATGGTTAGTTATTAAGCCTTAACCAGTGATGTATACATTTCGTATTCTGAAATCATCTCAATTTTTTTCTTCGATATTTATATATTTGGTCGACAACGTGTTCTGGTAGAAGTGGTTGACATTTCTCCTATGTCCCCACCTTATGACGCTCGATCTGCATTTTACTCAAATTGAAATTCTCTTCGTAGAACTAACGTCGGTGGAGCACCAGAAAGCTTGGCAGGCAGGTTTTGGACGCACTCTGTTGAACGAGCTTGCCAGGGGAGAACAAAGCTTGATGCAAAAAGGCGACTTACATGGTGAAGATGGCAGTACTTCGGCAATAGTCGCAACCAGGAAGAAAACTCGTAATATTCGACAAAGGTGAGAAAGGCATACAGAGAAATGACATGTAATTTTTGATGTACTTTTCACTTTCTTTCAGACAAAGAGGCAGTTCACAATCGAGCAATGAAGAGGAGACACCTTCCACGATTACAGAAAAAACTACAACAAAAGTCAAGAAATCGATCTACTCAGATGATGACGATGATGCACAACCTAAGTTCATCCCACCGAAAAAGAATTTTCCCGGAGAACTGAAACCAGGACTGAATAGGGTAGGTTTACCTGTCCACTTCTCTATTTATATCTAAGTCAGACAAGCGCAATGGACGTTCAATCGAGTCACGGTTTGGAATTCATCTTGTGATACAGTTAGCTTCAATCAAAAAATTGCTTACTGGTTCCTCCATTCTTTCAAAATTTATACAATTGGACCTCACTTCCCGCGCAGGCCCTACATAGTTTCCGTCCTTTTGTGTTTCTCACTAGTTACGCGAACGTGGCCTGACTTTAGCTCTGCTCAGATCCTTCATGTCACTAATTGAGAATTCAGCTGGTCCATCTTGCATCGAGCGTAATTGTATCTTGCTTCTCAACGTCCCATTTTTTCTCATCAACCATCAGTCGTCTGTCTACATACTCATGATAGGGGCAAGCGAAATTTTAGTATGACAGTGTCGCCTATACTAATCTCGTTTCAGTCTGTGGGGAATGCAGTCGAGGTTGTTGTACCGCTTGCAGTGCTTTTCCGGGTAACAGTAGCTTCTCTTAGAACCAGCGGTACTTTCGCTCTTCACTTTTTATGTCTTCCCTCACTACGTTCCTTGTGTTCAGCAAGTTCTCAAATATGGAGGATTCATTCACACTGAGAACAGCCTCTTTTTCGATTCATTTTTTCGCAAAGCATTCTCATGAGCTGTAGATTTCTCTAATCTTTTCAATCCCCCAGTCTCTTTTTTGTTTATAGAGCAACTTCAACATCGTGTTATATTGTAAAAGGGAGAGAACAGCTATGAAACGATAATCCCCCGTTCCAACCCATTTTTGGATTTGTATGTCGTTAAAGCTCCTCTCCAATCTATTAGAAAAAATGTATAATGATTAACTTCTGTGGCGACCAGCCAATGTCCTCGTGTCGGACAACCCTTAGTTGATAGCTTGGATGATGGGG